CCCCCCCCCCCCCCCCGCTCCGACATCTTTGTCCCGCACCCCATCATCTCACTGTCCCTACACCTTCCCCCCACCCACCATCATACACCCATCTCAACCCCACGGCCGTCAAGCACCCCTGCAACCACACCACCTAATCTCCGACACCCGAAACCCCGTTTCCGGGACCCCGCCCTCAACCAGGCCTCAGCGCTGGGCGCTGCATTACGAGCTGCAGCTTTTTGAGAGGGCGCTGAGGCACACACAGGTTGGGGGTGCACACGCATGAGTGCTTGAGAGAGAGCGTGCGTGTGCGTGTGCGTGTGTGTGCATGTGTCTGTGTCTATGTCTGTGTATGTGAGAGTGTGTATCATCGTGCAGGGGCGGGCCGCACGGGAATTGAAGGCGTGCTGCCGCCGAGACTGGGTGCACCATCGAGCCTGAGTGGGTTCAGGGTGTGTTAGGGTGGGGACCGGCAGCACCAAGCCCAGCACCAAAGAAGCCGTTGAAACCTGCGTCTGCTCAGCCTGACTTGTTTGGTGGGCACATGCAGATTGGGCGTGGGTTGTTTGGTACTGGCCTGGGGTAGCCCCAAGCCATACCAAGCCCTGCGCACGGTCCCAAAAACAGCTTCACGCGTCCCCTGCGCCCCACGCAGGCCTCCGCCCAGCAGCAGCAGCAACAGCAGCAGCAGCAGCAGCAGCAAGGTGCGCCAGGCGGTGCGCAGCACCCCTACGCTCCGCACCTGGAGTGGAGCCTGCTGGCGATAGGCCAGATTATGCGGTGTCTTCACGGCCTGCAGGTGCGGGATCATGTGTGTGTGTGCGTGTGTGTGTGTGTGCATGTGTGTGTGTGTGTGCGCGCGTGCACGCGCCAGGGCTTGCACGCGCATATGGGTGTGCATGTGTGTGTGTGTGCATGTGTGTGTCTATGCATGTGTGTGTGTGAGTGTGTGTGTGAGTGTGTGTGTGTGTGTGAGTGTGTGTGTGCAATGCGTGGGTTACGAGTGAACATGAGGGGACGTGGTCGTGCTTGAATGGGCCTAGGAGTGAGGGTGGGCTAGTGAAGGGTCTGCTTCGGCACTCCAGACTGCGTGGCCCGGGATCCACCCTGGCATCCGGTCCCGGCCATCCCATGACACCGCAAGGCTGCTGGCTCCTGACCCCCCCTGGCCTTGGCTGATGCCCCCACCGCCTCCCAGCCGCGCTATGGACCCTCACCCGCTGCCAGACTACCAACGACCCCCAACCACCGTCAAAGTCACCCCTGGCGCCCCCGTCCCTCCGCTCGCGAACCCTGAACCTTAGGTCCAAATCCCCATCCCCACATAACCCACGCGCAGGCCCCCGACATGCTTCTCGGCCCCATCGCCCCCCTGGCCCCCGCCTTTGAGATGGACGCAGTGGAGCGCGCGCTGCGCAGCGGCGGGGAGCGCGACGCCGCCAAGAAGAGCGAAGAGGACGCGGGCACCATCGCGGGTGCGGCCCGCGCGCCCCCCCTCTCGCCCGCCGCCCGTGCGCGCCGCCGCTGCGGCCCCATACTCTGACCCCCATCTTTTTTGGCGAAATCTGATTCGAGCCTGCGACGCCGGGACCTCCTACCCAATCACAAGCATCACGACCTCAGCTTAAGGCACCCAGCCGATATTCGATTTTCACCAGTCCCAATCTTACAACCCCCCAACGAATCTCCACCCGTGCCCCTGGTGTTGCCAGGCACCAACCACGCGGCGCTGCGCTACTGGATGCGGTCCATCAGGGAGGGCGCCTACATGGTGCTGTCCTACGCCGCGCAGGGCGTGGGCGCGCCGCTCTGGCTCAACCAGCGCCTGGCGGCCGCGCTCCCGCAGGTGCGCCGGGTGGACGCGCGCGCGCGCGCGTGCCGGGCGGTCCTGGGTGGTGGGAGGGGGGTTGGCGCGTCACGTAAGGCCTGCGGGCGGGGCTGGTAAGTTGTGTTGACGGCCCGAGCATCCGCCGCCAGAGATACGAGGCAAATCTGCAGAGCATCGAACACTCACACTTGACCCAACTCGCCCCGACCCGCCGTCATGCTGACATCATTATGACGTCATCGTGACGTCATCGCACCCCGCAGGACCTGGCGGCCTACGTGGAGTCGATGGACGAGCGCCACATCCGCATCCTGCTGCGCCACGCGGTCACGCCGCTGGTGACGCACTGCCCGGTGGCAGTGCGGCCGCCGTGGCTGCTGCCTGTCTTCTCTGTGCTGCTGCCCAACATGCACCGCAGGTGGGGGCGCCCACTTCTTTGGTCGCTTCGCCTTGGTTGTCTTGCTTGTGTTGAGGACCGTCTGCTCAGAGCTTTTAGCACGCACTGGGGCGAGGGAATGCACCACGCGATCCTGCAAAAGAAGAGTGTGCCGTCGCCCACGCACGCACGTGCGCGCGCGCGCGCGCACACACTCAAACACACACACATACACACACACACACATGTACGCGCACGCGTTCGTGTGCACACACGCACATAAGCATGCACATGCACACGCTGGTGCTGACAAACACAAACCTACAAACAAATTCACACTTTGGCACACATGCACACGCCCTGTACATTATACCACCTGCCCACCCCCTCTCACAACCCGCCGCTGCAGATTAACAGACGGCTGGGCGCGCGTCGCCGCCAGCGGCGGCAGCGCCGCCGACGGCGCGACCCCCGCGCCGGCGGCCCCCCAGCAGCAGCAGCAGCAGCAGCAGCAGGCGCCCGAGCAGGACGCGGCGCAGCAGCGGCGATTATCGGACGAGGTCGTGGCTGAGTCGGTGCTGCGCGACGCGTCGCGAGAATACATGGCACTGCTGGCCAGGGTCGCCGAGCGCGGCGGCGCCGCCGCTATCCCCGGCGCCGGC